GTTGTTACCGACATCTGGTGAAAATTTCATGTCATTAGCACCTCTAGTAATATATTTACCGAGAAAAATGGTGACGTGTTCAATACTTATTTTACCTGCTGTATATAATTTGTAATTACATTTCCAAGTTTGCAGGCGAGGTATTTTAGCTGACATCACAAAYAGATTACAAATTTGCTGACAATTAAACATTTAAGTTGACACAAACTGAACAGAAAAGTATCATGATTAAATTGATTCAGCAATAAGTTTGAGAAACGTTAGAGCAGTGATACCTGGATAATTTTCCTTCCCTTTTTTTAAAACTCTTTAGGAACCATAAGATTTTCATTAAAAGGTCAGAACGAACCTGATTTTCAAGACGCGAGCCGTGAAAATCCTGACTGACGACACTAACTCAGGAACAACTCTGGGAATGATCTGTTTATTATTTCATCCCCAATAGAAGCTAAAAGTCTACAATAAGTAAACATATTCTTCCAAAATTATTTCAGAAGGATTTGGAGGAACAGATTGCATAAAAGACTTGCTGATTTCATCAGTACAATGCTAAACCCCTTTATGCATGTGTTTCAACAGGAATACTGAGCATTGAAACAACTGTCAAAAAACTTCATTTTCAGCACTGAGTGTGTTGCTTACAGGAATTATATTTTCAGAAAAAGGGTTGGATATTAACAATACATGGCTTAAAATCAATTGGGCAAAAATAATGATCAGCAATGTCATTTTAATATTACTGGTGAAGCCCCTGGACACCACAAGAAAAGAAAAAAGAACAGAACAAAACAAAAACATAAAGCCACTTTTATTTCTTTCACCTGACCACAAGTAAACACGGGTTAAAGCCATCTACTGCCACCTGAGGCTAACTTTTGGAAATGTAGATGTTTGTGAACCTCTCGAAGAGGCAAATATTTCTCTCCAGCTGACCCAATTCCTCTTCCAGATGAATTTTGTGGTTTTTCATTGACATGGTGTTGATGATCATTGGAAGTTTCTGGTACAAATCATGGACTTCGCCCCACGTCTTCTTCAGTCCCTGCAGAGAAAATGAAAATGTAAAAATGAATCACTGTAATGACAAACTGTTAACTTGTTAGAATTAACAGTAAAAATAATAATAATAACTGCAGAAAGTATTTATTGGTTGCACTAATTAACATTTGGAGTCAACCCAATTTTAGATGGCTGCCACAGCTATTTGACCAGAAAAAAAAACACATCAGAAATACTGCAGCAGTGCTTAAAAGCCTGAATTTTGCCTGAAACTCTCAGACTGAAGAAGTCTCTTGGAGGAGAGACGAAACGTTTCATTAGAGAAGAACCCGTCCAGAAGACCTATACAATTTTTTTCTTTTTTTTCATCAGAAATACTGTATATCTCCAACTGATTTACTTATAGCCCGTCAGATGGCTCCCACAGCTAATCAACTTTAGACAATTTGACAAATAAGAGCTTAAAATTTGGTGTGGAACTAGTAGCCAAGCATCATTTACAACACGTAATTTGAGCAGGACATCTTTTAGTATCAGATGACACTGTGCATATCAGTTCTATTCTGTTATTTATCAATACAGGATGATCTGAGTTTAAAAATCTGGCATGAAATATGAATTCATTTGTTGTTTTTGCCTGTCTGGCAGGTCTAATTGTCTGTAGGATTATCTGCTGTTGTGTTTGAGTACCTCCAGGACAGCTTGCCGTTCCTCGTCCGACATGCGTGGTATGGCTGCCTGCTTCTTCTGCTCTTCTTCGAAGCGCTTGCACTCCTCCTGGTATTTCTGCCGTTCTTCTTTGTGCTTCTGCAGGTATGCGGGTACTTCACCATAATCCTGCAGACAGGATTCAGACACTTTATGTACACTTTAGAGACAAGATATCCAAGTTCAAGGCTGTGCTAAAACAACGCTCAGTTCAAACGGGCATTGTAACCTTTTTAAAGATGTATTTGGGGACAAGGCCAGCGTTTTCCAGGAGCTGTTTGTGTCTTCTACGGAAGTCCACACTCGTGGGTCCAGGCTTCACGGGCACTGCTGCAGTTGTCTTTTCAGGATATCTTTCGGTGTGAGTTACCACTGGAGAGCTGTCGGCCATCACAGCGACAGGAGGCTTTCTCACAGTGCAGGCATGAACACTGCGGACGCTTTTTGAGCCGTCTGTCTCAAACGAGAACACACCAAATGTCAACTCATAATCATATCTCAGCAGCGAACAGAGTTTAATTGAATAACTCACTTTCAGGCAGCCTGGGCTCCTTTGAATGTTTCTTTAGGTACTTGTCTGGAGATGTGGTTTCCACTTTTGCTGGTCCCATCGTCCTCTTTGAGTCTTTGTTCAGCTTGCTCTCAACAACAACAGCTGGTCTGAACTTAGATACGTATCTTTATTTTAAAATAAAACAGAAAATAAAACATTTTCTGTGAATCCAAACTGTCACGGAGGTTTATCGAAAGAGTAAATAAAGAACAGGGTCACAGAAAATTTGTTTCATTCCATTATATAATAA